GATCATAAACACAGAATCAGATCAGACCGAACAGTTTGGCTTGACATTCATTCCCTAAAAATCTCTCTTTCGTATTAGATCAGAAACAAAAGTCAGACGCGTGTTACGTTGTTAAGATGGTCGGTTTGAAACGCAGAACTTTCACATTATGAAGAAACACGTAACGTGCCAACTGATATCAAATGTACTACATGGGTAATCAGGTCGACAATTTCACCCTTGACCCAGATCGAGTTCACCTCTGACCTCTCGAGACGAAGGAAGGACAAAGCTGCCCGAGTTCTGGTTTACGTGAAGAGAAAAACCGTCATAGGAAGCAGGTAAGGCTTAGAAACGAACAGAAAAGTATTCTAATGTTGAGGGGAATAGTTTAAGACCATTTCTGTGGAAGAAGAACCGCAGTAGGATGATAATTTGTAGGCATTTTTGGGATGTGAATATTGTTGAATTAAAGGGAGGGGGGGGGGCGAAACCTAACATACGTTCGACCCTCGCCACTTACACGTACGTCGATTTGTATCAGGCAAAGTGGCCTTTTTAGAGTACGTGAAATTATATGAATTGTTAATTGTATTGTAAAGAATCGCATAAGGCGTACATTACAAAATCTAGAAACGCATAGAACTGATTTGTAAAAACAGTATAGAGAAGCCTGGTGACCAAACCTATAGGCTATACTGCCGACTCTCTTTCCAGCCTAGCGAATGGAGTCATTTTACCCATTGTTCGTATTCGTAGGAGTAATAACTAATATGATATAAAATGTTTTAAGAGATTGGTGGTGTGAGTAAGAGATTGTAAGATCTCAAATTATGATTTTGGAACAACATAGAAGCAAATTTATTCAAATGCGAGAAAGACAACACGTCAGAATTATCTTGGGTTACGTTGTAATGCATTTGATTAAAATTGTAAAGCTTGGCGAAGTTAGAATTCTTTAAAGCTTGTTTTCTATAAATTCTATTTTATCATTGACAGCTTATAACGCTTAATCTGTATAATTTCTTAATTTTTTTCGTTAGGCTGAACATGGCAATGGCAGGACACGGGTCTCCCACCGGAGTTGGTCAGAACTGCTGTGATGGGTCTCCCACCGGGGTTTCCCAGGTCGACGGTGACAGCAAAACAAGCAATGTTTGAAGACCAGGCGGCAGCACAAGTCAACTTGAATAACGCTGGTGAGAAACCCTACATGTGTGGGGAGTGTGGGTACAGGACAGCTAGAAAGTCTACCTTATCCCGACATATGAGAACCCATACAGGAGAAAAACCCTACAAGTGTGACCAGTGTGACTATTCTGCAGCACTGAAACACAATTTAGACCAACATCTAGTCAAACATACTGGTGAGAAACCCTACATGTGTGGGGAGTGTGGATACAGGNTGAAGGGGAGGGGGGCGAAATCAAACATACGTTCGACCCTCGCCACTTACATGTACGTCGATTTGCATCAGGCAAAGTGGCCTTTTTAGAGTACGTGAAATTATATGAAATTTTAATTGTATTGTAAAGAATCGCACGATGCGTACATTACAAAATATAGAAACGCGTAGAACTGATTTGTAAAAACAATAAATAGAGAAGCCTGGTGACCAAACCTATAGGCTATACTGTCGACTCTCTTTCCAGCCTAGCAAATGGAGTCATTTTACCCATTTGTTCGTAGTCGTAGAAGTAATAAATAATATAATATAAAATGTTTTGGTGGTGTGAGTGAATAATTGTAAGATCTCACAAATTATGATTTTGGAACAACATAGAAGCAAATTTATTCAAATGCGAGAAAGACAACACGTCAGAATTATCTTGGGTTACGTTGTAATGCATTAGATTAAAATTGTAAAGCTTGGCAAAGTTAGAATTCTTTAAAACTTGTTTTCTATAAATTCTATTTTATCATTGACAGCTTATAACGCTTAATCTGTATAATTTCTTAATTTTTTTTCGTTAGACTGAACATGGCAATGGCAGGACACGGGTCTCCCACCGGAGTTGGTCAGAACTGCTGTGATGGGTCTCCCACCGGGGTTTCCCAGGTCGACGGTGACAGCAAAACAAGCAATGTTTTAAGGCCAGGTGGCAGCACAACAAGTCAGCTTGAATAACGCTGGTGAGAAACCCTACATGTGTAGGGAGTGTGGGTACAGGACAGCTAGAAAGTCTACCTTATCCCGACATATGAGAACCCATACAGGAGAAAAACCCTACAAGTGTGACCAGTGTGACTATTCTGCAGCACTGAAACACAATTTAGACCAACATCTAGTCAAACATATGGTGAGAAGCCCTACATGTGTGGGGAGTGTGGATACAGGACGGTTTTAAAGCTACCTTATCCCGACATATGAGAACCCATACAGGAGAAGAACCCTACAAGTGTGACCAGTGTGACTATTCTGCTGCACAGAAATCGAATTTGGACAATCATCTAGTAAAACACACCGGTGAGAACCCTACATGTGTGGGGAGTGTGGATACGAGGGCAGCTAAAAAGGCACACTTATCCCAACATATGAGAACACATACAGGTGAAAAACCCTACAAGTGTGACCAGTGTCACTATTCTACAGCATGGAAATATGCTTTGGACCAACATCAGGCAATGCATGCTGGTGAGACACCCTACATGTGTGGGGAGTGTGGGTACAGGTCGGCTTACAAGTCTCACTTGTCCATACATAATGAGAACCCATACAGAAGAAAAGCCCTACAAGTGTGTCCAGTGTAGCTATTCTGCAGCCTCTAATGCTATCCTATCTCGACATATAAAACGACATCTCGACAGAGGCACCAAGTCTGCAACTGTGACCATCTCGTAGTGACATTTAGGACGCACAGTCTGCTGTTAACTACAGTTTCGCTACTTAATAATTTGATACGAGTCTTAATATTCTGTAAGATTTCATGATGTTTGCAAGTAGACAACGGTTTTTCCCAAGAAAAAGTCCCTCACTTCTTCACTTTAATATCTAATTAAGTTATGGCTATAATTTAGGTACAAGAATAAGTCTTAGTTCAGCTTAGAAGCCCATATACTTTGTTGTAATATCAGATATTAAAATACTATTTTTAGCTATCTAGAATTGTAGAGTGAGAATAGTAAGCTTTTTAGTATAGATTGGGTAATGTACATATACATAATCAGTAATTAACATCGGTAAGTGATTGTACACAGTAGTTGAAGCTGAAAGGTAGACATTAGTGCTGTGTTTGTACACAGTAGTTGGAATGTAGACGTTAGTGTTGTGTGTACGAGCTTAGATTCCCTGTGTATCTACTAGTAGTTCCTGTCACGAAGTGTTTGCCTATATGTCCTACAAACACAATTATATCTTGTGACTATCAACTCTTAAAACTACTAGGATTTGTATAAATAAACCCAAAAGCTAATAGTATTGATTTGTATCAGTGTAAAATGACTGATGTGCTTCAATTTCCAAAGTAGGAAATAATTTTACGCCAGTGAAAAGGTTGACGATAGGTTGTATAGAAGTAAATTTCCTGTGTTTTGTTTCGAAGATGTATCTAGATTTAGATATTTTCCACTGAAATAATTAAATCGTGTAGTACCTTGAACATGATGTTTCCTTCTGTGTTGCTTTTTTTGTCCTTGGATGGAATATTGTCAGAGGTGGTGAGTTGATCATAAAACACAGAAATCAAGATTCAGACCAAACAGTTTGGCTTGACATTCATTCCCTTAAAAAATCTCTTTCAAATTGTATCAGAAACAAAAGTCAGATGCGTGTTACGTTGTAAGGTGGTCGGTTTGAAACTCAGAACGTTGACATTATGAGGAGAACGTAACGTGCCAACTGACGTCAAATGTACAATGTGGGTAATCAGGTCCACAATTTCACCCTTCACCCAGATCGAGTTCACCTCTGACCTCACGAGAGGACAAAGCTGCAAAGCTGCCCGAGTTCCGGTTTACGTGAAGAGAAAAACCGTCATAGGAAGCAGGTAAGGCTTAGAAACGGACAGAAAAGTATTCTGATGTTGAGGGGAATAGTTTAAGACCATTTCTGTGGAAAAAGAACCGCAGTAGGATGATAATTTGTAGACATTTTCGGGATGTGAATATCGTGGAATTGAAGGGGAGGGGGCGAAATCAAACATACGTTCGACCCTCGCCACTTACATGTACGTCGATTTGCATCAGGCAAAGTGGCCTTTTTAGAGTACGTGAAATTATATGAAATTTTAATTGTATTGTAAAGAATCGCACGATGCGTACATTACGAAATATAGAAACGCGTAGAACTGATTTGTAAAAACAATAAATAGAGAAGCCTGGTGACCAAACCTATAGGCTATACTGTCGACTCTCTTTCCAGCCTAGCAAATGGAGTCATTTTACCCATTTGTTCGTAGTCGTAGAAGTAATAAATAATATGATATAAAATGATCATGTGTATGGGTAAGTTGAATTTGTAAGCTGTCCTGTACCCACACTCCCCACATATGTAGGGTTTCTCACCGGTGTGCTTGGTGAGATGATAGTCTAAATGAGATTTGTGTGCAGCAGAATAGTCACACTGGTCACACTTGTAGGGTTTTTCCCCTGTATGGATTCTCATATGTCTGGATAAGTGGCATTTTAAAGTTGCCCTGTACCCACACTCCCCACACATGTAGGGTTTCTCACCAGTGTGCGTTGCTAAATGTTGGTCTAAATTAGATTTCTGTGCAGCAGAATAGTCACACTGGTCACATTTGTAGGGTTTTTCTCCTGTATGGGTTCTCATATGTTGGTTTAACTGAGATTTTAAAACTGCTCTGTACCCACACTCCCCACACATGTAGGGTTTCTCACCAGTGTGTTTTGCTAGATGTTTGTCCAAAGTGGATTTCTGTACTGCAGAATAGTCGCACTGGTCACACTTGTAGGGTTTTTCACCAACATGTATTTTCATGTGTCTGGATAAGTGAGATTTGTGAGCTGTCCTGTACCCACACTCCCCACACATGTAGGATTTCTTGCAAGAGCGTTTCTCAATAGTGAAGTTCTGTGCTGCAGAATAGTCAAACTGGTTGCACGGGTAGAGTTTCATGCTCATATGGGTTCTCATGTGTCGGGATAAGTGATACTTTCTAGCTGTCCTGTATCCACACTCCCCACATATGTACGGTTTCTGACCGGTGTGTTTTGTTGCCATATGCTGGTCCAAGGAGGGCTTGTGAGCTGCAGAATAGTCACACTGGTCACACTTGTAGGGTTTTTCTCCTGTATGGGTTCTCATGTGTCGGGATAAGTGAGACTTGTTAGCTGTACTGTACCCACACTCTTTACACATGTAGGGTTTCTCACCAGTGTTTTTAACCATGGGCCTCCCCATATTGCCTTGAGGGTCCATGTCCGTTGTCTCCTTCCCAGGGTATTTAGTACAGTTCATCTCCTTCCCAGGATGTTCAGTACAGTCCAGCTCCTTCCCAGGGTGTTCAACACATGGGTCACAGCTGGAATCTTCCATTTCTGTTCTATGGGGGGTGGGCATAGCCAAACAAGTATACTGTAATTCTTGATCTGATAACGGTCACTTAATTATAGCGGTTTTAGCGGTCACTATTCCACCGCTAAATTTTCATGATCGCAACTTTTTTTTACCACTTCCGCCCCCCTCCCTCTTGCCCCAAGCTCGTTACCGTACGATCGCAATCACGCTTCATTTCTTGACTACAACATGCACACAACGCACAGTACTAGTAATTTTACATGTTAATACATGCATATAATAGTTTATATTCCAAGTATTGCTCTATCATTTTTGATGATGACCAATGCAGTTAAGCCCCGAGGACTAGAGAGATAAAGAATGAGCATGATCACGCAATTTTGCAGTCGACTTGGTCAAGCACAAAAGACGAAATGGCAAAATGAATGGCAGACAACTAGAAAAACCTTGAAGTTCGTATTCGGGGCTCAGTGGCTCAAAATTTATATAAAACTTCCTGGTGCAGATTTTCCCTTCACTCTAAAGCAACAAGCTGTCATTATGTTACACCAAAAGACTCGGTTTTAAGACGAAAACGTCTTAGTTTAGATGTAAGGGCCGGCCCGGATTGCACGTATGTTTTGTATCGCCCCCCTCCCCCTTCACATTTCGTACCATGTTTACATACAGAAAAGGCGAACAAATCACGATCTAACTGAGGTTTTTCTTCAACGAAAATGATCTCAAATTCTTTATTTTCGTTATCACGTACTTAGCTGCCTGTTTCTAAGCCTTACCTGCTTCCTATGATGGTTTTTCTCTTCACGTAAACCGGAACTCGGGCAGCTTTGTCCTTCCTTCGTCTCGTAAGGTCAGAGGTGATTGTGGTGTAGGTCAAAGGTTAAAATACTCTCCTGATTACCCAGATAGTATACTTTACGTCTGCCAGCACGTCAGTCTTGATAACGTTTCTTATTGCCTGTTTCTGAGCCTTACCTGCTTCCTATGATGGTTTTTCTCTTCACGTAAACCGGAACTCGGAAAGCTTTCCGCATGCTCGTATTGCATGAGGTCATAGGTGATTGTGGTGTAGGTCAAAGGTTAGAATTCTCTCCTGATTATCCAGATAATGTATTTTACGTCTGTCAACACGTCTACATGCTAGCAATATCTATATGACTCAGTATTGTTGGGTAGCCATTTATTTATGTATATATTTTATTATATATAAGAATATTTTACATTTGGGATCGCGTATACAAAGGTATTGTCGCAATGTACGATTCATGTATTTATTTGTTTATTTGGGTTTACCACCAGATATATGTATACAAGTGGAGGGGAGGACAAAACAGGTGCATTGACACCTTTACAAGTTGTCCTCCCAAACACAATGTGCACAATATAAATACGGATTACATTATTAAAAACAAAACAAATTGCAATAATGAGCATCATTAACATTAAATATTGCACTTCAAACATAAAATATAATACATTAAACATCGAATATTGTACAATGCAAAATCAAGCTATATACACATGTAATACATTATTTACAAAAATTTCAATGCTTAAAAACTGTGTACACCGATCGACTTGTTAGACCTAACTTAGCCTTGAACTTCTAACTCTAATTTACTTGGTGACAGTGAGTTCCACTCTGCGGTAGTTCTAGGAAAGAATAAATTCTAGAACACCTCAATCCTATGGTTGATAACTCTGGTACTTGAAGGCATGACTATTTCTTGTTCTCTTCTGGGCTGGTATTAATTAGGTAGTAGTTGGGACGTCCACCAGTTTATTAGTCATTTTGTACATCATGCAAAGTATAGACAGGTAGAGTTATTTAGGTCCTAACAGTGAAGAGTTTGCCCAGTAGGACATTTGAGCAGTACAGTATCCACACACCTTCACACAAGTAAGGTTTCTGTGCTGCAGAATAGTTGCATACTGGAAAATATCTAGGGTTTTTTTCCCATGTGGGTTTTCATGTGTCGATATAAGGTCAACTTAACAGTTGCCCTGTATCCACACTCCCCACACTTGTAGGGTTTCTTACCACTGTGCTTTGCGAGATGATCGTCTAAATGAGATTTCCGTGCAGCAGAATAGTCACACTGGTCACACTTGTAGGGTTTCTCTCCTGTATGGGTTCTCATATGTTGGGCTAAGTGGTACTTTTTGGCTGTCCTGTACCCACACTCCCCACACATGTAGGGTTTCTCACCAGTATATATTTCTAGATTTTAAACGCTGTACAATAGTCACACTGGTCACACTTGTAGGGTTTTTCTCTTGTATGGGGAAAAGGTGTGTGTTTTGTTTTATGTTTGTTCAAAGAAGATTTCCATGCTGCGGAATAGTCACACTGGTCACACTTGTAGGGTTTCTCTCCTGTATGGTTTCTTAAGTGTTGGGATAAGTGAGACTTCTGAGTTGCCCTGTATCCACACTCCCCACACATGTAGGGTTTCTCACCCGTGTGTGATGCTAGATGTTGGTCTAAATAGTATTTCTTTGTAGCAGAATAGTCACACTGATCACATTTGTAGGGTTTTTCACCTGTATGGTTTCTCATATGCATGGATAAGTCATACTTTTGAGCTGTCCTGTATCCACACTCCCCACACATGTAGGGTTCCTCACCGGTGTGTGTTGCTAGATGTTTGTCCAATGTACCTTTCAATGCTGCAGAATAGTTGCACTGGTCACACTTGTAGGGTTTTTCTCCTGTATGGGTTCTCATATGTCGGGATAAGTGAGACTTCTTAGTTGCCCTGTACCCACACTCCTCGCATATGTAGGGTTCCTCACCAGTTTGTTTTGCTATATGTTGGTTCAGGGTACCTTTCTGTGCTGCAGAATAGTCACACTGGTCACACTTGTAGGGTTTTTCTCCTGTATGGATTCTCATATGCATGGATAAGTGAGACCTGTCAGCTGTCCTGTACCCACACTCCCCACACATGTAGGGTTTCTCACCAGTGTGTTTTGCTAGATGTTTGTCCAAAATGGATTTCCGTTGTGCAGAATAGTCACACTGGTCACACTTGTAGGGTCTTTCTCCTGTATGGGATCTCATATGTACAAATAATGTAGACTTGTAAGCCGCCCTGTACCCACACTCCTCACACAAGTAGGGTTTCTCACCAGCATTATCCAAGTTGACTTCTTGTGCTGCCGCCTGGTCTTGAACATTGCTTTTTTTGCTGTCACTGTCGACCTGGGAAACCCCGGTGGGAGACCTATCACAGCAGTTCTGACCAACTCCGGTGGGAGACCCGTGTCCTGACGTTGCCATGTCTGGTCTGTAGAGCAAAAAAAGAACTTTTAAAGTTCAATGGTTCAAACTTGGGGGTATTGGGGTGTCCGGGCAGGCTGTTTCTTCGGGGGCTCTAATAGCTTCCCCCGCCCAGTGCAACAGGCCGTCCAGGTAGGAGTGTTACGCTAATAAGAGACAGTATGCCTGGGGAAGGGCTAATCAATCTCTCGTGAAATACACACCGGGAAACCTATGTGAGGTGGGCGGGACAGAGATCTTTCGGCCCCGACCACGTTCAGACTGGATACCTGGCTACCAACACACACACACAAACAACTTCCCCTAACTTCATTCGCTGTTTTCACAGATCAATTCAAGCGTTCACAAATTTATAATTTACGCCTTTTGCGTTTCTTTAACATTAATATTTTATTATGTTATTGAATGCCCTCAACAAAGGCTACTTTGCCTAATGCATCAGGCCTCGAAATCAAGTTTTTTTTCCTATTGTCCCAGCACTGAACCGAAAATAAATTTCAAATGTCCCGAAGTGAGGAATGAACTGTTCTAACCTGTTTACAGGAAGTGAATTTGAAGTCAGCTTTATTTTGCTTACATTCTGAATTCCAGGCACTAGGTGCGCCATAATTTATTGTCGAGTAAACGGGAAATTTTGGGTAGTGAAGCCAAACAAAAGAAGGGCTGACATTCTGACTATTTTTCTATTGTCCCAAAAATGTCCCAAATTATCTTTTTAGTTGCCCCAGCTTATTTTTCAGTTGTCACTGGCCATCGGAACACCGTTAGTTTCGAGCCCTGGTAATCTCCAAGCAGATCCCTTTCGGTGGCAAAAAGACAGTATCAAATTGGCCAGGCAGTATCCATTAGCCAGAGAAGGTCACCGGCTACCGACGGGATTAGCGACAAAAAAAAACCAGCCATATATAAAAAGCTAACGATCATTCCCCCACAACCTCTGCTTGGAGAGTACGCCCATGTACATGTAGCCCCGAACAATGGATGTGATATACATGTTTTCGCCCGTTGTGTGCCAACACGGATCAGTCATTCAGTGGTAATTGGCTACTGTAATTCTTGACTTTTTCACTATTATGTACACTGTTTTCACTGCCACTTTTGTACAGTGAAGTTATCATTACAGTTAACAAATTATTCCTGGACTTTCTTTTTCCTGCACCTGTCGCCACCGTGGACATATAGTTCCGTAAACATCTCCATTTTTCTCAGACCGTGAAATTTTGCTAATGTGAACAGTACGTGTTTCGCCCATTGCGTGCAACCCTGGATCACGCCTTTTGTAATGGCTATTCTGCAAATGAAAGAACCGGGTGCGTAGGCCTTGATAATAAATTATTCATAAATCGGTCGCCGCTACAAAGCTGCTGGATGGTATTCAGTGACAGGCCCCCTTCAATTCAACGATATTCACATCCCGAAAATGCCTACAAATTATCATCCTACTGCGGTTCTTCTTCCACAGAAATGGTCTTAAACTATTCCCCTCAACATCAGAATACTTTTCTGTCCGTTTCTAAGCCTTACCTGCTTCCTATGATGGTTTTTCTCTTCACGTAAACAGGAACTCGGGCAGCTTTGTTTTCCCTTCGTCTCGTGAAGTCAGAGGTGAACTTTATGTGGTTCAAAGGTGAAATTGTAGACCTGATTACCTACGTAGTACATTTGACGTCAGTTGGCATGTTACGTTTTAGTTTCCTCATAATGTCAACGTTTTACACTTCAAACAGACCAGCTAAACAACCAAAGGGACAAATCAGTACAGAAATTAATGTAAAAACCAAACTGTTTGGTCTGAATCTTGATTACTGTGTTTTATGATCAACTCACCACCTCTGACAATATTCCATCCAAGGAAAAAAGGAAACAAAAAGTAAATATCACGCTCAAGGTACATAACGATTTAATCGAAAATTTCTATGGATACATCCTCTAAAAGAAAGGCAAAGCAAACAGGATTTTTTTTCTACATTTTCACTGCCGTAAAATTACTTTCTACTGTTGGAAACTATTTAAGCACATCGGTCATTTTACACTTCTGCTAATCACTACAATCCAAATTTAAAGAGCTGATATTAGTCAAGAGTTTAACTAATAATAATTGTGTACGCATAGTCTTCTCATCAGTATAGTTTGTCTCTATTGATATCAATATTGATGCCCATACGAGATAGTCACAGTTGCAGAGTTTGTGCCTCCGTGTGAATTTTCATATGTTGAGTTAGGATAGACTTAGAGGCTGCAGAATAGCTACACTGGTCACACTTGTAGGGTTTTTCTCCTATATGGGTTCTCATATGTTGGGACAAGTTAGACTTTTGAGCTGTCCTGTACCCACACTCCCCACACATGTAGGGTTTCTCACCTGTGTGTTTTGCTTTATGATTATCTAGGGTGGATTTCCGTGCTGCAGAATAGTCACACTGGTCACATTTGTAGGGTTTTTCTCCTGTATGGGTTCTCATATGTCGGGATAAGGTGGCCCTCACAGCTGTCCTGTACCCACACTCCCCACACATGTAGGGTTTCTCACCAGCATGCCTTGCTAGATGTTTGTTAAAAGTGGATTTCTCTGCAGCAGAATAGTCACACTGGTCACACTTGTAGGGTTTTTCTCCAGTATGGGTTCTCATATGTTGGGACAAGTTAGACTTTTGAGCTGTCCTGTACCCACACTCCCCACACATGTAGGGTTTCTCACCGGTGTGTTTTGCAAGATGTGTGTCCAAATGAGCTTTCCGTGCTGCAGAATAGTCACACTGGTCACACTTGTAGGGTTTTCTCCTGTATGAGTTCTCATATGTTCAGATAAGTGTGACTTTTAGCTGTCCTGTACCCACACTCCCCACACATGTAGGGTTTCTCATCATACTTGTAGGGTTTTCTCCTGTATGGGTTCTCATATGTTGGGATAAGTTCGACCTCACAGCTGTCCTGTATCCACATTCCCCACACATGTAGGGTTTTTCTCCTGTATGTGTTCTCATATGTAGGGACAAGTTGGACCTTATAGCTGTCCTGTATCCACACTCTCCACACATGTTGGGTTTTTCTCCTGTATGTGTTCTCATATGCTGGGATAAGTTAGACTTTTGAGCTGTCCTGTACCCACACTCCCCACACATGTAGGGTTTCTCACCGGTGTGTTTTACTAGATGATAGTCCAAACTGGATTTATTTGCTGCAGAATAGTCACACTGGTCACACTTGTAGGGTTTTTCTCCTGTATGAGTTCTCATATGTCGGGATAAGCCAGACTTGTAAGTCGCTCTGTACCCGCACTCCCCACATATGTAGGGTTTCTCACCAGCGTTATCCAAGTTGACGTGTGCTGCCGTCTGGTCTTCAGCATTGCTTGTTTTGCTGTCACAGTCGACCTGGGAAACCCCGGTGGGAGACCCATCACAGCAGTTCTGACCAACTCCGGTGGGAGACCCATGTCCTGCCGTTGCCATGTTCAGCCTAACGAAAAAAACTGACGAAATTATACAGATTAAGCGTTAAAAGCTGTCAACGATAAAATTGGGCTCATCAACAAGGTTTAAATAGTTCTTCACCAATGTTTACAATCTTAACCTAATGCTCTACAATATCAACCTAATATATATAACAACGTAACCCAACATAATCTTAACCCGTTGTCTTTCTCGCATTTGAATAAATTTGCTTCTGCAATGCTTCAAAGTCATAATTTGTGAGATCTTACAATCAATCACTCACACCACCGAGCTCATTCAAAACATTTTATATCATTATTTATTACTCCTAGGACTACGAACATTGGGTAAAATGACTCCATTCGCTAGGTTGGAAAGAGAGTCGGCAGTATAGCCTATAGGTTTGGTCACAGGATTCTCTATATAATTTTACTGTTTTTACTAATCAGTTCTACGCGTTTCTAAATTTGTAATTTACG